TAAAGCATTCTATTACATATATGTATCATGTCTGTGAGGAGGCAAGTATTCGCTGAGTTTCGGTTCATCATTGTGAAGCGCTCCTGCTCAAGACCAAGACGACAGAAAGCGCATCCTGGGCTGCGTTTCTCAATAACGATGAGCTTAAGAGCGTTTTCTACGAGTCATTTTACGATCGTTCGTTGTTGTTTCACGTGCGTTTCCCAAAAATGCACTTAACACAATCGCACGTAGCCGTGCTTTAAGTGCTACTTACTTATGCCGAGTTCACACTGCACGATTTTCAAACTCGTCGGATCGCCGTTGTTTTCACACTGCGTGACTATCTGGGGTAGCATTCAGTTGCTGCTGTGTTCACATTGCACGATGGATCGGCGACAGGGGGTTTCACACTGCATGACTTCACAATAGGAAGAATTGCTGACAGCTCTGTCTGGTCCGCAAACTTTTGTTTCACAACAAAACACACGCGAGAAGTGATAAGGAAATAACGCGAGAACCCGCGTGCGTCAGACCGGAGTTCTCGCGCTGGTTTAAACTGGTCCTTTGCTGGTTTATGCTGGTCATGTGCTGGTCTTAAGCTGGTCGGACCAGTTTAGGACCAGCACATGACCAGCTAAGGACCAGCATAAACTAGCAAAGGACCAGCTTAAACCAGCTCAAACCAGCATCCCAGCTTCAAAACATACCTAACCAACCTAACGACGCCCGCGAAATATTTGGCATGCTAAGGACAAAGGACATGGCAAAGAGAATGGCTGAAAAGCAGAGAAAAGCATGGACTTTCTGTTCTTCATAAAGAACTCGAGGGAGTAGGCCATTTCTGAATTTCGCGACCATGCGAGCATCTGCGATTTTCTCCCGAGAGAAAAAAATCGCCTGCGAGCTCGTACGACAGCAAAAATCGCACCGTGTACGCCCGCCTTATGAAGCTTTTGGGAAACGCAGCCCTGTTTGTTTTCCTTAATTATTTTACAAAAGCACAGATTTTTGATGATATTGTTTGTGAGTGCACACAAATAAAAGTAGACCCTTTACAATTTCGAATGATGTATTACTCTTACCTTTATGAACAAAAATGAAGGCGTATGTTCAGTTTCCACTCTTAAGAAAAAAAAGCAAGTGATCGCGCTGGCGCCTCCATGTCCTGCAGGGCACGCTTCAGCTTCCACTCTCCGCACAAACGATTGGATATGCGTCTAACAGCACACATTTATCTAGGTTACATTTTTTAATTAATATTGTGAATTGCATGAAGTGTTTTATGTCTATAGATTTTATTTTAGGCAAGTCATGTTGATTTGAGAAGGCTAAATTGATCAAACATATATGCTCAACTCAGTCCGCCGCTGGCCGCTTGGTCGTTACTTTAAAAAACAACAATAACTTGAATTTAACAAACATAAAATGTTCCAAACTAAATTAACTTAATAAAGAAACGAAAAGATCTATAACCACTTTGCCATTAAAAACCAAAACTGGACTAGCCTATTTGCTGCTGTGTAAAGGGGAAGAAAGAGAGAGAGAGAGAGAGAAAAAAAAAACACGGGCTCGGGTCAGACTCAGGCCGAGAATATTCTGATAAACTGTCGGAAGGGCCGGCCCGTGCAGGGCTCTATTCATCCCCTCGTTTCAATTAAAGGTTCCCCCTCGGCTCAGCGGGCCCACAATACGCCCGGGCCCATATGCACCTGCATACCCTGCATACAAGACGCTACGCCCCTGCATGTAATGACTTCTAGTGTTTGCTGTACAGAAGTATGAGAATCTGGGACAGAAGCGATTATAGAACATATTAAAGCAGCACAACGGAAGCTTTATGAATATGGATTTTACTGCTGTGTTTTCTGCATTTCATTTGGATGTGTTGTAGAGACTCAAAACACTCCTCATTCTAGAGAGATCTGCTTTATTTGTCATGTTAATCTCCATATGGACATACTATCTCTGTGTTTTCTCATCCTGAATCCAGTGTTTGCAGTGAGGCATTTCCACCCCTGCAACAAGACATGCCAGCTCTGTAATTTTGTGTGTGTGTGTGTGTGTGTGTGTGTGTGTGCACTGATCTGAACTGCTATTTCCAGCTCATCTCTATTGTTTATTTGACTTGTGAGTGAAATTAAAGCACTGTTGAGCATCTCTCAGTTTATAAAAAGAACATCTGTCTTCCACACCCTCCCACATTTAGAAACAAATGATGCTGCAAGACCTTGTACACAGACCTGACATTTGCATATCTGCTAATGTTTTTTGTCATTGATATAAAAATAGGAGGGAATCGAATATGAGCGCTTAGGTCAGATGATTGGATATCAGATAACTACATTCAAAAGTGACACAAAATGTGCTGTTCTGCATGCAACAAGATTTGCAGTGGAATAATCAGGTTGACTGTGTAAACATGTGTGACGTGTGACATGGGGGAAGTCGTGGCCTAATGGTTAGAGAGTCGGACTCGTAACCCAAAGATTGTGGGTTCGAGTCTCGTACCGGCAGGACTTGTAGGGGGGGGGAGGGGAGGTACAGCGCTCTCCAAAAGTGACACAAATTGGATGTGAAAAATGTGCTGTTCTGCATGCAACAAGATTTGCAGTGGAATAATCAGGTTGACTGTGTAAACATGTGTGACATGTGTGACATGGGGGAAGTCGTGTCCTAATGGTTAGAGAGTCGGACTCGTAACCCAAAGATTGTGGGTAAATGTGGCCTATCAGACATCAGATGAGTGCATTCTCATGAGCTAAATTAAGAAATAAAAGTGTTCCCTAAACACTTTGTTCCTCAAAAGAAATTCCTGACTTATCCATTAAAGTAACATTTTTATGTGTGCTGAGCAGATTTACAATTAACCCTGTAAAGTCTGACATATCAAATAATAGTCAGAAAATCAATTTTTATAAAAATCTAGTTTATTGAATATATATGAATGATATCTAAAAAAAAATCTAAAAGGAAAAACTATGTATATGTGTTTTATGTTGAGTATCATATACGATCCATAAGGCGTCTATGGCTCATATAGTGAGAATATGGAGCAAAAATATGCAATTTGGTGCAGATGCTGATATTTATATGAGGAAATTATGATGCTTGTAATGTAAATAATTGAGATTTTTATAACAGTATAGCCTATCAGACACAAACTAGTGCTTTGGATAGAAGTGCGTGCTATTAATAAATGCAAATGTTCCTTTATAATTCCATACAACAACATAATACTGATCTAGTAACATAACCAATTTCCTCAGCAGATTTTCACTGCATTTTAAGCATTAACTCTGTTTTCTCCAAGCAGCACACACACAAACACACACACACACACACACACCCCTGGTGGTTTACCACAGGGCGTAGTCAGTGCTGTTTTGAAGTAAAAACATCAAATAGACGGTTACATTGCCCCATTACACAGTTCCCTGCGTGTGTCTATAAACTCCCTTCACTGGGATATTTGCATGTGGCTGATGCTTGTGTGACAAAGTATTGTTTGTCTCAGCATGCTTTGTATATGCGTCAAAGCATGCTCATGTTAAGAAGTCTATCAATTTCATCCATGCAGATGTCACACCTTTTCTCAAAGCACCTCGCAGTGACTGTTGCATGCTGACGCGCAGGATTGGAGCAATTCAATTAGCCCTGGTGCTATTTTAAAAGGGTCAGACACTAATACCTACAGCCACAGCTAATGGAAGCAGTGTGGCAACAATAGTCCGTTCTCAGTGTCTTCCTCTTCACTGCTGACAAGACTGCCACCTGTCCTGGAAGGATGAAGCATCCAGTGCGAATTAAGGAAAGAGTTCACTGAGTTTAAGTCCAACAATTAGCCCAGCAAAGCCCACATGATAGAGGCCCAACAGTTCTAGTCCGAATAAGAGCAGCTTCAGGGTCATTAAAACATCACCCTGGACTTCATGATCCTTCAGTAAGAGGCTCACGGACAAATCTGCACTTTGTAGCCTAAATGGAGTAATGGACATATGACATGAGATCTGTTTCACAGGTTTAAATTACACTCTCGTTCTCTCTTCACAAGCCAGATGAGATTTCATTGACTGGTAACAATGTAGATGAGCTTTCAGCAGATTGCACATCACATTATCATAGCTCCCATGTTGTTTTATTTAGTGTTTAAACATATTTTCAGTGAGCGTGTGATATATGTGCCATAAAATCTGATAAGGATCAGATCTAGCACATACATTCGCCACAAAATTGACCATGGGAACTGTAGAATGCTAAAATGTCAGAGTTATTTGTATTAAATGGGAACTTGGTGTGGTGTGTTATTCAAGAGACAATGATTCTGCCACTGTGCAGATCCCACATTCATTTATTATGATTTAACTATAACTATAGTATAATGGTGGAAACTATGCTTATTTTCTTTCATGCCATCGTTTTTAAATGATTAATATAAGGTATTCATTCATAATACATTTTGCTTTCCCCTCTATTCTGAATATTTGGTTATGCCTTGAGCAAAGATGACTCTTGTCCCAAACCATGCTTGTGTTATTTATAGTAACAAACTAGGGCAGAACTCAGAAGTGCAAGAAATGAGCAAAACCAAACAAGAAAGACATTTTTACATTGAACTTCATTGTCAATGTATAGAGTTCAATTACAGTGAGCATCAGTGAGCAATATGGCATTTAAATGACAATAATGCAAGTTTGGTGCAAATTTGGTTCAGAAATAACTGCAAAATGTGTTTTTTTTAGGAGAAAAAGCTAAAAATTGTGTAAAATGGCAGCAATCGTCTCATTCGATGATTATTAATGCTGTTAGGATGACTAATTTGGGTAACATGTTGTCTACACAGCAATCAGCGCGACGCGATGAAACTAGAAAGATTTTGACGCGACGCTAAATGTAATGTGATAGTCTCCGCCTACTCAATGACGCGCCCGCGCTGTCATCCAATCAGAACGCGATAAGCTCTTTCCAGGCCCTTCCCCCTCGAGAAACGGTCGCGTATGAGCTGTATGTTCGCGGCGCGCTGCACAGTCCGGTGAGTCACCGTCCGCGCTGAAATACAGAGAGCGCGAGAGAGAGTGGCGGATAGCGAACGGGAAATAACTGGAGCTGCGAGCATGGCGGTCGAAGAGGAAGGTCTTCGGGTTTTCCAGAGTGTCAAAATAAAAATCGGTAAGTCCTGGAGCGCGCGCGTTTCTGCGCGAGACCGCTTTCCATATTCTGACTGAAATCGCACGGTCGCGCTCTGCGCGCTCACTGTCTATTGTGAGAATATGTGGACATTTTTATAAAAAAATCACAAATGAATGCTTAATATTGTTATTTAGCTGTCAGTGCAGATATGTATAAAGCATTTTTATCATATCATATGGTAAATAATCTCATGTGTTTGAATGACGTCTCGGCTTAGTTTGAATACAGTGAGCCTCAAATAGCTGCACATCCAGATGCGTGAAAACACTGATATCTGTGCGTCCAGATAGTTATATTCGTGTCTTAAACGTATTTTTACTCACATAGACACATATTAGTGCACAGATGTGTGTGTCTCACTCCAGCTGTGGTTGTTTAGAAGCAGCAGAGCATTTATAGCCCTGGACTCATAAACGTTACGGCTGTGTTTTTTCAGTGTGTTCTGCATCTTGAAATCATTTATACTTGCAGTGCAACAAGTAGAACATGCTGATGAAATCGTTCTTTCCGACTGAAACAGAAATGCATGTGATTTTCTAACTGGACAGAGAGACAGACAGACATGTGTTCTGTGTTCTCAGTTTGACTGCTGGCTGGCATGTGGTTTGACTGATGTAAACACGATAAACACTGGGAAGATGCTCTCTGTACCATTTGTCTCTTTCAATTTCTTTTTGAGTGTGCGTGACATTTGAAATTGAACATTTGTGTTGTGTAGCCTCTCTCTCTCTTTGTGTGTGTGTGTGTGTGTGTGTGTGATGTTGTTCTTCTGTTCCTCAGGTGCATACAGGTCTTATGCAAGAGATGAATGTGTGTTTGCGGCTGTCATTGAGTTGTTATTTGACTCAGATTAAAGCAGAACACACGCACACACTCAGTCCCGCAGGTCTAATTTAATCTCTGTATGGCACAGTAAACGCACTCCGGCTGCGTCGCCTGGGCACGTGTTTGGCTCTGAGCGTCAGGCTCTTCATTTCCATATGTACCACAGTACAGCTGAACACGTTAGTATGAGGTCGAGTAACTGCTTTGCATTTAAATATCACTTACTTTGGGTAGTACACGAACTTGTACTCTGCACAGTGACAATAAAGTTGAATCTTATCTAATCTAAAATTTAAATGTATAATGCATCATAAAAGTATTTTAATGCATTAATTATGCCTTGTAACACACCTCATAATGATCTCATGAATAACCGTAACCACAGTTATAATCTTTATCTGTTCATAGTTACGCCTTTAGAAAGTATAATGCATTAAAACACATGACAAACAACCAATTTCAGATGTAACAAGGAATCTGCAAATATTATGATGCATTCTAACTTTGGTTACAATTCTTTATAAAAAGATATAATGCATTACAACATACATTATGAATACCTTTATAATGCTTTATAAAAAAGGCTTCAAGTAAAGTGTCACCCAGTTTTCACTCAGAAATTGCTTGTAAATTAGTATATCAGTAACACGTTGAACTAAATGTGAAATTTTGAAGTAGAAAAACTGAAATAGTATGTTATTTTACAACTTTTTTACAGTAAGAAACATGAGTTCTTGAACATAATGTGTTAGAATCACTGATACTATACCAGGGTTATTATAGTTAACTAAAACTAAAAGCATAAAAAATCATTTTATGTACTTGAAATAAAAGAAACATTAACTGACATAAAGTAAAATATAAAAAACCTTAAACGTACTTTATTTCAGCTAGTTGCCAAAGCAACATTTTTCTTTTTAATTTAGTTTAACTTCATGTACTAAAATAACTACAACTAACACTGAAATAAAATGAATAAATAGACCTATAAAAAACAGTAACAAATAAAAATGACAAAAACACAACAAAATTACTAAAACTAAAATTTCAGTAAAAATGGAAAATACAAAAATAAAAATATTTCAGAATTAAAAAACTGTTCAGTGTCTCAATGATATTAATTTTATTATTATTATTTTTTTATTAAAGCAGTGGCTTTATCTCACATTCAGTGTTTTTGTATTTTTCCAAAAATATAATGCAAGTTTTTTGTGATAACTAACTGGTAATTTGTTACTAACGACCACTGTTATTAAAATGAGAAATTCAACCAAATTTTAGCACTGTTTGAAGAAGATCCCGTTTTCGTTTATAAAATATAAACATAGTACTATGTTATTTTGGCAGGCAGTATTTGTTTATGTTTTTAAGTGTAGCAATTAAGTTATTCTCCACTTCTGATGAATAAAATGTTTGTTATTATTATTAACTCTTATAAGGAATTTACTGTGAAAATATCATAGTACCTTGTTGGAATTAGATTGTACTTTGATGGTAAACTGTATCCCATTTTCATTTAATAAACTTTAATCATAGTACTTTAACCATATTACTCTTCTGATTATTATGGTAAATGTTCGTAAGGGGAGGGCTCATAAGTATATGTTTATGTTTTTAAGTCAGTAATGAATGTGCAATTAAGTTACGTGTTTGTTATTATTATTGTTATTATACTTATAATAACACTTGTGAGGCAGCAACAGTGATGGTATTACATGGTACTTTGATAGATATGAGTAAAACAAATCCATTTGTGCTTGATTTGTGATTGCAAGTGTTGTTTCCTAACATCTTCACGTCCCTGTGTGGCGGTTTGTTATTTTTAACCTGATTGCTTCACCAGCATTTGACAGAATTGCGCATGTTTTGGAGAAGTAGCCACAGTCCTGTCTTGGTTCGATGCTCCACGTCACACACCTTCAAACAGCAGAGGAAACCAGTGTATTCTCTGAGTGAAATATGGTCTGTGGTAGATGGTATCAGCCGTCACACCCTGCTTTACAGAAGATCTCATGTCCAGTTGGTTGGGCAGATGTACAGTAATGTCTCGCTCTGCTAGTCAACTGTTGCATTGTTAAGTTGTCTTTGACTGATGAATGCTTTATGCTTTTTTCAATGCTGTTGTAGTTATATTGGGTGGAGAATCTCATCAGATCTGTGAGAGTTTCATTTTAGTATGTTAAATATCTGGATGGTGGCTGGCAGTTGACAATGAGAGTTTTGTGATGGCCAATAATACCAATATCAATATGGCTAATGGACAATATAATGCTACAAAATTCTCAAAATTACAGAAAATTAGTCAGTTCAAAGATACAAGACTATGAACTTAACAGCTTTAAGTTCTCTTTCTCTTTCTCTTTCTCTTTCTCTCTCACTCAGTAGCTATGTTTCCATCACCCTATTTTAATGCGCATTTTGAAGTATCGCATCAGAAACGAGTGATGGAAACAGCAAATTTCGAATAAAAATCCCTTAATTCGCAAAAAAGTTTTTACACTCGCTTGAGGTGGTTTTTGACTTGTGCGAAAAAGGGTTAATGCGAATAAAAGGAGATGGAAACTAATTTGCAGAGTAAATTCCTCCATGCGCATCAAAAAATTCATGTGACTGCGCTATGGGACGGCAAAACCTGACTAACCAGTGGACCGATCTCATTCCACAGCATCTGAAATGTTATGGTCATTTTGAAATGTCCGAGCAAAGTCTGTCATCAACGTATTTCTGTATAATTCTCTTTGACTCGTTGGATGGAAACAGTGCTTATTCGCAAATGTTTTATGCGATATTTCTATTTTGCGCATTAGTTAAATTCGCAACTTTGGAAGGAAACTCGGCTAGTGTTGCCAAGTTTGCGGTTTTCCCACATAATTAGGATACTGATTTTTTCCCCACGTTTTAAAGTTTTGACATATTGCATGCATTGTAATTGACTGAAATGCGTACACTGAAATATTTTATATTCTACCAATGATAATACTGTGTTTGATTATGAGTTTTTTGAGGGAGGGCCAGGGCCTTTGAGCTCATTTATGAAAACAGATGGTTTATGATTGCTACTAGTGGTTTTGAAATTGTGTATAACTCATAACAGTAGGGCTGCACAATTAATCAAATTTCTAATCGCGATTACAATTATGGATGCCACGTAAGAAACACACGGCAGGCTTGAGTGAGCAGAGGCTGGCGGCCTAGAGTGAGGAGCGGGTTTACGGCAACCACATGTGACGACCCCGGGCTGGACTCTGCTTCGTCCACGGTAGGGCTGGGTATCGAGTTCGATACTTTTTAGGCACCGACCGAATTGCCTCGATACCAATGTAAATTGTGATAATCATAATTAATAATCGCAATTACAATTTCAAGGGAATAATCGACGATTATGATTTTTGTCTTAATCGTGCAGCCCTACATAACAGTGACTGTAAAATATGTACTTTAGGTATGGGACAGGCATATGTTGATTTTTGATATTTGGATTAGTGTTGGGCGATATGGTCATTTTTCAAATCGTCATATCGCCAGTCCGTGAGATCGCCGATAGATGATATTATCATGCATGGGTGAGTGGGGGCAAGAGAGAGACTCCCTGTACTTGTCATAGGCTATTTCAAAAGTAGATTTATTTTAAAGACCAACAGTTTAACACTTAATATTGGACATAAACGAACACGTTAAATATAAAGTATTTAAAACAAGTAAGTTCATATATTTGGAGTAAAGTTCAATTAAACGGATACATCAGTCATACAGAGCTCCGGACCGCGTGCCCCATGACGAGCCCGACACACTGCCACAGAGACAAGAATGAGATGCGTTCTAACATAACTGTGGCATTAAACTCAGTTAGTGAGGGCTCGGTTAAAATATTGCGCATATAATTAGGCAGTTCAGATTACTTGTTAAAGTGCAACGAAATACCTTATATCAGCAGACAATATGTGTCTGTGTTTGTGGTTGGAGACTCCTTCACCGGCTACAGGCTCTAATCCTCATTTGCGCGAGCGTGAATAGAAAAAAAGAAAAATGCACAAAGAACGTGTATGGAGATTTTTCCATCTACAGATTTTTCCCAGACCTTCTTTTCTCTGTAAATTAAGGGTGCACACTATTGCTGAAAAACACAATTAGTACTCAGCAGTCAGGTGTCTGTA